GGGAATGTACGCGATAATGGAAGGTAGAGATGCTCGACGAAATTAATTTGGCGGGATTCGATGCTGCTGGTGTGACGCGGAGGGAAATAAACGAGGAAACGCGTGCAAATGTAGCGCGGGAGGCGCAACGATTATACACTTGTGCATTCGTTAAGCCCACTTTATTTAATGATTTCGTGGTCGAATATAGTTACTGAATAACCGCCTACCTACTCGTGATTCCCGACGCTCGTAATAAAGACGATAAATGCATCTGCGCGCGCAAACGATTCCATTCTACCACTTACAACGTTTGTTATCTCCTTCTCTCCACCTTCCCCCACCCTTCTCCATCCCTCTTTCCTTCTCGACCTATTTCGTTCCACGGATCACACGCTTTTCCACGTGAAAAAGAAGAAGAAGAAAAAACTAACGAATTCGAAGAAAGTTTTTTTCACATTTTTGCAACTTCCAATTTTCGACTTTTTCATATTTTTAAACGCGTTTCTCGAGATCTCACGGATCGTCTATGAGCGGAACGACGTTAAAACGATCGTTAAATCGAATCGAGTAGATTCGATTCACGAAACTACGTACATCCCAAATTCCCCTCCCTCCTTGCTTCGCTTTTTTCCCTCTTTTCTTTTGTTCCATCCACCATCTTTTTTTTTTCTTTTTTTTTTTTTTTTTACGCTGCTCGACACGCATTATTATCACGCTACTAAACGAGTTTTAGCACGCTAACGAGCTCCAGCCACGACGAACCCACTTTCGATAAACACCGAACACGATTTCTCCCAAGATCGATAACCGCTTAACGATGACTGACCGACCAGAAACTCGAGAAACTCGAGAAAAGTGATCGATTCGAATCGAATCCAAACGAGAAATTCGAATCTTGCCATGAAAAATAATGGAAACGAGTAAGCACGGGGAACAACAGTGTTACACGTATATCTCACGTAAGTATTATAATTTAAACTTTATAATTAATTTTCATTTTACCTTTTTGTTGGCGTTATGATAAAATTGACAATCGAATGGGGGAAAATTCAATGGGGAACAAGATTGAAAAGATAAAAAATTTTTTCCACGAAATATCCGATTGTGATCCGTTGTATCATCGATTAACGGAACGGTAAAGGGAAGAGAAAAATGGAGGAGGAGGGGTGCGACGATAGAAAGGAAACGATAGATGGGAGGTGTGAAAACATTAGCATGCGATGGATATTTTGCATTGTTCGTAGGAACGGGTTCACGCGCATTGATCTTTGGGAATTGGAAAACACGATGCTTGGTAAGAAAAGTTGTACACGATGCGGTGGAGAGTGGATGAAATACGAGATGCGAGAAAATAGCGACCACCAGGCAGACTTAAATATATACGTATACGCGTACTGTATATGTAGACGCGCGCGCGCGCGCGCACACACATTTACGGTCACACGATACGTTCTTTCGGTTGAAAAGTTTCCCTTTTATGTATTTCCCTGATGCTGATATCGTTCCACTCTCGTCACTTTTCACTCTTTCCGTTTCAGTTTTGCCAGCTGCAGCGCCAAGTCCACTTTTCGGGGAGTGTCCGCGTAATCCGAGAAGCAAAACGAAAATCGACGCTATACTGTGTTCTCGGTAACCAACGGTTTGGAATAAAGACATCCTTTCGTTGACAAAGTTTTGTCAACGAAAAACCCAATTTGTTTCGATCTTTTCTATCTTAACTTTCTATTTTTCTTCGCGTCGATCGACGCGAGAGAGAGAAAAATATTCGAACGCGTCAAATAAAATTTTTTTTAACTAGAGAATATTTATCGACGATTGTAAAATTAACGCGATTAATGCTCCGTGGTTGAGAGCTACGGCCGGTTGATGGTGACAATGGTATTGTCGCTGTTACTGGCGATCGTTTAATTAAAATGTCCCGACGAACTTATATGGTGGTAACGGTGTTATTACGGTGCCAAAATCGTACGAGTGTTCGATTTATCGATCGGTAAAAATACACGTGCGATTAAACTGTATTCTGTATCAATTTATCGAGTAACGACTATGTTTCTATGTCGCGGTGTAAACAGTAGGTATTACGAAAAAGCTGTAAAATGAAAAAGGTGAATACGCGATCAACGGCAATGATTTTATGGATTTCGCTGCACTCTCTATTTTATCTCTTTTTGATACGAATCCTCGATACAGACACGCTGTTTTTCATTTAAATATCTTTATCGATAATCGAAATTAAATATAGTATGTATTTATATGCTGTGCAATATATATATATTCGTGTCCTCGATTACAGAGAATTAAAGAAATCCTTTTGTAATTTTGTTTTTAATATCTCTAGCAGACAGCTAAAGGGAAAGAGAAGGTCGTTAACCGATAATCGTAAAATTTCTCGTTGTGGTTAGATAAAATCGAACGATATATCGCACGGACAGTAGAGAAAAAGAAGGAAGGAAGAAAAAGAGATCGAAAAGAAAAGGCCTAGGAACGCACATGAAATGTACATACCAAGCGAGCATGTAACGAACGAACGAACGAACGAACGAAAGCAAGAAGTGAGAAGAGAGTGGGGGGTTCGACGGTAGGGTGAAGAAAGGGAAAAGGGGGAAAACAACGGTGACGAGCAAGAGAAGTAGGTATAGTAGGTACGAGAAACTGGCGAGATTCCGACTTTATTGGCGCAAATGGCAATTATCTCGAGTACGAGGAGCGTTCGAAGAAAAAAAAAAATTTTAATATTTCCAACCGTTCCCAGTTATCGAGTAATTTTTGCGATTTCATCTTCTTCTCCTCTTCTCTTCGATGCATTATAACGAATACGTTTCATCCATGCAATCGCATCGTTACAAAACCAACAAATTAAATTGGAAATCTTACGAGTATCGTGACACCATTTTACCGCAAGATCTACGTTCTCTCGTAAACGTGATTCCTCTATTCTTCTCTCCACCAAAACACCGATTACTTTATCTTGAAAACCCCGAGCAAATAAACTCTCGTAATTGCTTCGTACCGTATGAGATGATCTCATAAAGAGAATATAAATCGTACTTTGAATATTAATCGAGTTAGTTCGAAAATACGTTCGAATCAACGAAAAAAAAAAAAAATTTTTTTTCAAAATTGAAAAAACGAGAAACAACGTATTTATTTTATATAAATTTTAAATTAAATTAGAGAATTGCGTTTCATCCATTTTTCATTTTCGATTATGTCGAGAAAGGTTAAGTGAAATTTATAAATATCTCCAGATATCGAAAGAAAAAAAACAACGTCCTTTTCTCCCTTTTACGCCATCCATCAGAAAGGCTATTTTCGTCTATGATAATAATCCATCTACTCTTCCGACCAAGCAAAGCAGAGAGAAGCGTGTTGCATCATGTCGCACGATATGCATTTAAATTAAGCTCCGATATTAAAGCGCGACACGCAGGTTTCCTTCGCTAATTAAATCTATGTATACGTATAGATACGTTAGAGAGTTCAGAGAGTGCAACTTAAGTTGCTGCTTTGTCGAGCAAAGGCGACGCGTGTTTAACGACACGTAAAGTGGTAGCGATGTTATCAATACTTCATCATTGATCAAAGAATAAAAAGCTCGTTATGTCTGGAAAAAAATTTATATCGTATCGTGTCCCGTCGATGAATACGCCAAAGAAATAAATGCGTCTTATTCGTTTTCTCAAACATTTTTACTTCTTAACATTTTTACCTTAACGCTTAACGTTCAGTTTCATCTTTTACTTTTTTCATCAATTGATCGTGCAAAATCGAAAACGTACAGTAATTTTTGTGACACTGCGAACCATTCCCCAGTCGTTATTTCACGCTTACCGATTTAAACGGATCCTCTTTGTCACTTCGACGCAAACACAATCGCGTCAATTGTAAGTTATATTCTATTCTGATGAAATTCACGCATAATTCATTTAATCGCGCTCAAATCTTTTGTTCTATTTTTATTATTTATCGTATAAGAAACAATTTCTTATTTCTTTTATCAACATCGTTTACCATTTTATTCTTCAGTAAATTTCTCTTTGAATTTGATTTTCATCAATTAAAGAAAATTTTTTTCGTATCGAAATGCTTCTAACTTAGACCATTCGATATTCTGCGTAACGGAAAGGAACGAAAAATTCAAAGGACAAAAGAAAGAAGAGAAGGAATACGCCATCCCCTAGATCGCATCGTGAATGCTAAAATTAAACGAAACATGTACAAATGTGTAGTACAACAGGGCCAGTTTTTTCGATAACCGACCAACGTTGATAAACGCATACTTCGGACCACTATGTTTCGTAGAAATTTCTTTATCGTCGTATTTCGTTATATTTATTTAACGCGAATGTGTTAAGAAATTCAAATGTCTCTATTCATACATTTCGTCCAAGGATTTACAATTGATCATAACTTAGAAAAATGACAAAACTGTTAGACAAAGAATATAGAATGTTAGTTTTATAAATTTTTCTTAAAAAAATAATTATTCTTTAGATATATAAAATTTCATATATATATAAGTATACGTATATAAGAAAAAGCATTTTCCACGTGCCAATTTACTTCAGAAAAAAATAACGGAATGAGATTTAATAACGATTAATTCTCATAATAGGCAAATCATGAAAATCATTCTGATTAAAAATTAAACGCAGTAGTTAATAGACTCTTAAATTTATAATTTCTTTATTTTAGCAAATTCATAGCAAATCACATTTACTTATGAAAATTTATGATTGTTATGTTTTAATTCGGTGAAAAATGTTTGCATTCAACAATTCTGAATATTTTGATGATTTCTTATTTTGAACGATATTCTCTCTAAAATTTATATATAATAATTTCGAAGATACTATTTGTACAATACAATACAATACAATATATATAAAATTGCTTTCAGACGAAGTGCAACATTTTAAATCGTACAATGTATAAAATGGAATGGCCATGACTTTTGAAATTGAACGCATTAAGACATAAAGAGTGAGAGCGAATAAAAATCAAAGAAAATTATTTACCTTTAAAATTACGAAATCCATGTTTCAGAAGACCGGAGCTAATGGTGAAACACGAGTTGATTATGTTTTATGATGAAAAACTGATGGCAGATATTAACGTCGAAGTTAAGATTAATTAAAACGTGTTTGTTTCAGTCGCGTGTTACAGTGATACGAGTAACTCGAAGAAAGAAGTGAAAGATATCGAACGAAAGCAATTACGCTGGTAAACCTTCCACTCGACATTTCTTTCCACTTGTTCGAAACGACGAAGACTTGGCGGTCACACACGACACGAGGCGGTTAGATCGTCCTCACTCCAATGATCCAGCATCGTTGCTGCACGCCTCATTGCGGTTTCACGGCACAAAAGCGAACAGAGCGGTTACTCGTTTTGAACGCAACTTTCGCATTTACTCGTTGACAAAGAGACTCTCCGGAACTCACAACTGGACGCGAGAAAAAAAAAAGAAGAGAGGCGAGGAGAGGTAAAGCGAGACGAGACGAGACGCGGCACGACGAGGCAAGGCAAGGCAAGGCAAGGCGAGGCGAGGTGAAAGAAGGTAAACGGCGCAACCTCGGGAACACGCGAGAAAAATATTCAGCCAACACGCGTGCCGGCTCGACGTCGACTGAATACAACGCCAGTCGCGCGCTACGAGTGGGAGGTGTGTCTCGCGTGTGCGACAGAACGAGATCGAGCTATATTATCGCGACGGAGAAGGGATGAAGAAAGCGTAAGAGAGACGAAGAATAGTTTTCATCGCGTTAGATCGAGACAGGCAAAAGGATGAGCGACCGACCGTCGGAAACCATAGTCACACTGGTTGCAACTGTTAGAGGGAGTTGAACGGCTTGCAGAGGAGAGGAGTGGAGTAGAGTGGTGTGGAACAGAGCGTAACGAAATGGAGTTGAGAGGAAAGGAGAGAAATGGTTTCAAGAGAAACAGACGCGACGGGATTGAACGGAACGGAATGGAATGGAATGGAATGGAACGAGATGCCTCGATTCGTGGAGACGATCGAATGACACAAAACTAAAAGAGAGTTACATTACAAATGCTGATTATCCAAAATTACCGGTTGCAACGCTTGCAATGTGATAACACAAGTGACACATTCTCTTACAATCTATTGTCATGATTCACATTTTGTATAATGATATGTTTTTATCTAAATATGTACATTTTCAAATATACGTACGTAAATATAAATAAAATTTCGCAATTTTTTTTTATTTTTATATAATTTCTAACTTTACTTTTATATAATTATTTATTATATTATATATTATAATTATATATTATTACTTTTATATATTTACTTTTATATACATATAACTTTTATCAATTTATTCATTTATATAATTAAATGTTGAAAATATTATATTTTATAGTTTTATGTACGCATTCTATATATTTTCCTTCTTTTTCATATTTCTCTAGGATCTTGTCGCATTTTAGTTAATTGCAAATTTGCACATAGTTTTCATAAACGCGATCAATCGTGAAAATAAATATGTCATAAGTGCTTGTGAAGGGTGATCAAATAGAAAATTCATAATCACGATCTTAACAAGAAAAGTTGTATAAAAAGCGACTGAAAAGTTGCCAAGCCCGCCGTCTCGTTTGTAATCCCAACTCTCCACCAACCCTTCCTCACCGCACTGCTCTCTAGAAGCACTCATAATTACCAAAGTTAATTTGCGAATCGCAATTTAATTGGCCAGTTCTTGAAGGTTCTTTAAACTTTGTCTTCTACGGAGTAAGGTTTTTTTTATGAGAGGCTCGATATGCTTTTCTAAAAATAATGCATTGAACGGATAATCAAATATTTCGATTTGTATGATAGAAAATAAATATAATAGCACGCGTAAAATGTACAATAAGAAAAGCTATTTTCTAAAAAAAAAAATTTGAAAAAAATAATCATATTAAACAAATTGCATAGATAGATGCAAATATCACGAAATTTATTATCGTATAATTATAGAAAAATTTATATCTTTCTATTATTTTATAAATGGCATGTCTATAGATATACTTATATGTATATATGCAAGCATCTTCAATATTATATATACATATAGATATAGATATTCATTCGTTTTTTTTCATTTTAATTCTTGCAAAAAACATCAATGTTTCGAAAAAGAATACTCTCAATTCATTATCAAGCAATCAGGAACGAATGTTCATAGATATGTGTACGAGAATATATAGTTAAAACAGGAGTAAAGAAAAGAGAAAGATATTAGTTTCCTGAGATTTTACCGCTACCTGCTCTAGCTGAAATTAAAGAAAAAAGATTCTGCGTGACGGCGAGCCTTTTAATTAGACGGTCTGTGATCTGCCAAACATTTTTCCTTTTTCTTTTCATCCTTTCTTCTTCATTTTTTTTTTTCTTTTCTTTTGTGTCTTTCACACTTTCTGTTCGCCTCTTTTATTTTCACTCTTTTGATTGCTATCCGATCACGCAATTTAAATCATTTACATATTTCAAAGACAAAGAGTACTTCTTCGATGTGAAAATAAATAAAGTGAGTTTTTTTTTCAAAATTCAATCGCGCAATCTGTGCAACGAAATTATATCTTTTTTTTGACGAAAAGTATACGATTTGAATCTTTTTTTTTCTTCTTTTTTCTTTTCGAAAAACATCGAAATGCATCGATAATGTTGCATTTATAATTGATAAATTAATAATTAAACTAATAATTGTAAATTGACTGATAAACAAAGGCATCGAAAAATATTAGTAATTCAAACATTTTATTTAAAATCTGAAGAACGTATCCTTTTCCATTGAAGTCGTACACAAATGTGTAAAGGGGAAAGAGATTGTGAGAGAAGAAGGAGAGGAAGAATCAGTGTTCATCGACGGGAATTCAGAACGTGCAAAAGCGCGAATGTATGAGCATGTTTGTAGAATGTAATATATACACACGAGGGATGATTCATACACATACCTGCTATCCGCCATCTCAATGGATGTCGGGCCAGGAGAATAAATTAACGAGGTGTTTGTCCGGATGGGATCACCGCTCTTTTTTTCAAGCCGGTTTAAAATCATACTGTCTTTAATAATTACGTCGGCCGAATACATTAAATGAGACATGCGTCGCGACGCATTTACCTCTGTCGCTTTTTGATAATGTTATTTACAGCTTTGATTTATAATAGATCATCATTGAACCTCGGCGAATTACTCTTTACATTGTATCATTTCAGAATAGAAAAGATGCAAAATATAACGTGTATTGGTAAACTTTATTCGTCACATTGAAAATGAAAATGAAGGAATATTCACCGACCATGCATGAAAAAAAAAAAAAAAAGAATACGATTATATATTGATTTTTCGGATAATTGTAAAAAATAATATATAAATCATAGTTGTATAATGTCTATATATTAAGTATCTAATAAATAATTGTTCAAAGGTTAAAAAAGATACATTCAAGAAATTTGTTAATAAAACGCTAATATTTAATTTAAGCATATACATTTGAATAATAATAACTGTTATGATAGTGTTCTATATTTAACGAGAAAGATGATAACGTATCGTTGAGATTTAGTATTTTTCTTTCAAGAATAGGAACAATTACATAACACATAATAAATTTTTATTTATATCAGATTCTAAAAAATCCATTTTTTTAATCTTTTAGGGAAATATATGTATATAAAAAATTTAAACTCACTGTAATGAAAAGATTATTAGAAAATATTCATTTAAATACGATTTATAATGTCATTTATAGATAAAAATTAAATAAAATGAGTTATATCATTGATACTGATATTCAAAATGATAATTAGATTAAAAAGAACAAATATATCGTTTTTTATTTATATCAAAGATTATTATATAGAGATTTCTATATTTGTGCAATAATATGTTTCAATATAATAATACTTAAAAGAAAGAAATGATGAATTTCCAAAATTATATTCTTTAATATTGAATAATTAAGAAATTGATACAATTTTCAAATTTTCAGGATAATGCAATAAATTGGAATAGGAAAAAAAAAACTTTAATAAAATATATATATTTAAATTATAAATTCATAGCACTTTCAAATAGTTCCAACATTCTTTTCATTTCTTTGCTAAAAGTTCAGAAAAAAGAAAAG